AGCCAACTGACCCAAATGCAGAAAGACAAAGCCAATGTTCTCTATTCATATGCAGATTCTAGCTTGTACATATGTATGTATGTAAGTGGGAATAAATGTGGGTAAAGCCTACAATACTACAATGGACTCCAAGAAAGAGTAAAGAGATTCTGAGGAGGGAGAGGGAGGACAAAAGAACATACATGACATGAAACCATTCGGGGTGCAGGGCAGAAACAAAGGGGTTAAAGTGTAGGACAGATAGAGGGAAATCAAAACAAAGTTTTTTGAAAGTGCCATAGTGATAATTAACACTTTGTATGTTAACTTTTTAGATAGATCAAAGTATATTTTGCCTTCTAATAAAGCTATCCCTACAAACATATATATATTATACACACACACACACACACACACACACACACACACACACACACACGCACATATGTAATTTTCACTGTTTATATATTAAAACTTCCACTGGATATTTTGAAACCTCATGGATACATACAAAACTTAGAATATATACTAAGATCATTGTTGTTAAAACTATAATAAAATCTAACTAGGAAAACTGATATTTTTAAGAATCATTTTTTATTTTTAATTATAAGTGTATGTATCTATATATAGTTATATGCACATGAATGTAGTTGCCCTCTGAAGGCAGGAAAGTCGGATCCCACAGAGCTGGCATTAGAGTCAGTTATCAGCTGCCTAACATGGGTGCTGAGAGCCCAACTCTGGTCCTCTGTGAGAGTATTATGCTCTCTTAATCACCTCTCCAACTTCAAAATTGGTATTTTTAAAGAGACATGACCTTAACTCTCAATGCAATGAACTTAAATCTCAATGCAATTATTTCCACATTCTCACTGCTGTGTCTTCACCCCCATTCCCCAAAAAGGAAAAGGGGGGAACCCCTTAAATTAGAACCAAGTGAAATGGCTACTGCCTATAACTACAGTAGGGAGGCTGAGGCAGGAGCATGGTAAGTCTGAGATATATATGCCTACACCAGGGCAAGACTCTCCAAAAAAAATTTTAAAAAGCAAATAACTTTAAAAACTGTAATTCTTTTAGCCTTTCCTGGTTTTACTCTATACTGGTCACCATTATGGTTTTCCAAAAACATAAATTAAAATTAAATTTAAAAAAACTTAAAATCCAATAACACATTACTCTATACAAAACAATGAAAATAGCAAATTTTCATAAGATAGTAGGAAAGCTTTGCTTCCACTCTGAGACTCCTAAAGCTTTTATTTACCAGAATCAGTCAACATGAACTATAAGAATTAAATAACACTTCTGTGACTGTACATAAATTCTGGTTCTCTGATCCATTTAAATGTTTGTATTCAAACATGTACAGAACTTAAGAATCTTCCCCCAAGGGATATGTTACAAAAATTCATAAGCAATGTAACTAAGAGACTATTCAAAAACAGTAAATATATCAAATACGGCTATTTATTTATAAACGCACATGCAAGGCTAAACTGACAACTTTTTTTTTCTAGAAAAAGTACGTCTCATGTGTTTACAAATACTTTATGTATCTCAAAGGCCTCTGAAATACTTCTTTTGCCCTTCAGTGTTGGAAACCAAACCCAGGGCCTCACACATGCAAGGTAAGTTGTACACAAAGCTACACCTCCAGCCGTTATTTTCTTGATCCCTAACTCACAGTTAAGCAATAATGTTTTAAGTCATTAATGAGTATTTGTACTTAAAAACGCCTTTCCACACTTATGATCAGAGCAGTAGCTGGCAGTACTGAAATAAGAAAGCATCCACTGCGTGCCAAACATGTTTTCTCTTCCTTTTCTCACAACCTTACTGACAAGATTATCATCTGGATGCAGGTAAGAAAACAGATGTACAAATTCTAGACATTCTAATGAGAAAGAGAATATGAGAGTGAATATGAATTGCATGGCCATGGTTCTAACAGGTCTGGAAAAGTTAGGTCCTTTTTCCACTGAACTACACACATTAGGCTGTTCTTCAAGTACTGGTAATAGAAAACAGCTTTTCACCTCTCCTTTCCCCCACCCCCCACCTGCGCAGTGAACAACAGACTGTTTCTTTGTGAGACCCGGTTCAGAAAAGAGCAATCTCTGGCCACAACACTGACCACAGCCTAAAAGCACCAAGTCTGTATTGGGACTCCACCCACAGTCAAGGTCTAGCTGTGTGGGCTAAATAAACAAACACAAACGTAAAGACGGTGAGGTAAATCAGCAAATAAAGACAATAAAATGCCGTTCATACATAGCTCTGAAATGCACTGAGTCTACTGGCAGATTTACCTTTATATCCGCTTTCTGCTTTGCTTCTTCTAAAATAGCTTTCCAGGAGCACACAATGAGCTGAGGATCACAGAGGCTGCTCGGTCTAGGTTTGGGAGACTTGAGGGAAACACGTTGGGTTGTACACGATTATGCTGATGGGCAACTGAGACAGCGAGAAGCAGTACGGCAGCATCTAAAAATGCTCTAATGTGCTTCCACTGTGTACAAACAGCTCAGCTCAACTCCTCAACACAATCCTCCTCAACAGTCTAAGCTCCATAAGCTGGCTGGGTTAAGATGACAGCTCCGGTAACTTCCTCTTCCTCACTGACCTCCTCAGTTCCATGGGTCCACGCCTTTCCCTCTAGGAGGCAGGACACGGGCCATTTCAAATTCACAAAACTGATCCCATCCCACCCACCGTCACCACAGGCCAAGAAGGCCAGCTTCCCTTCCTTCCTCTGCCTTTCCTGGGTGATTTTTCCTAGGGTTGGGGGGGGGGGGGACATCTTACCAACGATAAAGTAATCTGCAACAACAACAACAACACAACAACAACAAAAGAACGGATTTAAAACTCAGTCTCTCCTCGCACACGCTTGAAGGAAGGACGTCCAAGAGGAGCTGCGAACCCCACGGCTTCCGAGATTTACTGTTTTGATTCACTTTCCCTCGGGTCCCCCCCCCCCACTCCCTCCCGCCAGCCGGGGAAAAGGCCTGCAGCCAGAACGCCAAAATCTGCCTTCGCCTCCCCTTCGGGAGAAGACGCCGAGGCGGCCCAGGCCACCACCACCCGCGTGTCCCGCCCCCGACCCTCACCTGGCCAAGGCCCGGGGCAGCGCGCAGGGCCCGCGCGAGCACGGCGTCCCGGGAGCGTCCGGGGAGGCCGGCGGGCGGGCGGGCGCGAAGACGGTTAGGCCGCGCTGCAGGCCGGCGCGCTTCCTGCCGCGGCCCCAACCTCGGGAACCGCGGCCCGAGCCCCCGCCGCCGCCGCTCGCCCGCTCGCCCGCCGCCGCCGCCGCGGGGGCCGCACTCCCTCCCGCGTCCACGACCTGGGGCCCCGCCGAGCACTTCTCACCTGCCAGGCTCCCGAGCCCGGGCCTCGAAGCGGGAGGACCACGCCGCTCAGGGGTGTCCCCCCCCCCCCCGCCTACCCCGACGCGGACCCCCCCCCCCTCCCCACACGCACACGACCGGGAGGGAACCCGCGCCCCCTGAGGCGACGCGGGCCGGCTCCCGCCGCCCGACACCACACACCAAACACACACACACACACACGCGCACACACACACACACGCACACCCACTCGCCGCGGGGCCGCCTCGCGCCCGCCAAAGTCCCAACTCACACACACACCCACACGCGTTCGTCCCTCGCCCACCTCACTTTCCCCCCACCACCCCCCCACCCCACCCCACGGGGGGACGCGCTTCCCCCTCGCTCCACTCCCGGTCCTACTCCGGGGCACGGAAGACACTCTACCTCATTCTCCTCGGCGGGCCCAGGAGGAGCAACAGCAGCCATTTCCCCCGCGGCCGGGGACGGGGACACACACACACACACACACACACACACACGCGCACACGCGCGCGCACACACACACACACGCGCGGGCGCGCGCACACCAGGCCCCCACCGAGGCTCCCCTCCAGACCTCAGACGCAAACACAAACACCCACGCCCGCTCGCTCGTTCGCCCGCCCGCTCGCTCGCCCCAAGGGGGCCGCGGCGGCGGCGGCGGCGGCGGCGGCGGGAGGCCGGGCCCCCGGAAGGCAGGCGGGCGGGCGGGCGCGCAAGGCCGGGAGCCGACCGAGGCCCCGCGCCCCCCCCCCCCCCGTCCTCCTCACCTGCATTCAGCGCGCCAGGGTCCGGGCGGCGGCGGCGACGGCGGCGGCGGGGCGGCTGCTGCTGCTGCTGCTGTTGCTGCTGCTGCTGGGGCTGCGGCGGCGGGGGAGGAGGCGGCGGCGGCGGCGGCGGGGCTGAGGGCAGTAAAGACATGCAGGCAGCCCGCCGGGGGGAGAGGCACCGGCCGGAGGGGACGCGGGGCGGGCGGGCCGGGCCGGGCCGCCTGAGGAACCACCGAGGCGGCGGAGGGCGGCCGGAGGGAGCGGGGACGAGAACGAGACGGATCGGGAAGGAAAAAAGAGGGGAGGGTGGGGGGGGGGGGGAGGCGGGGAGAAGGGAACGCGGGCCGGGGCCGGGGCCGCGCCGCGCCGCGGGACTCGGGACGACGGCGACCGGGGGCGCGCAGGCGAGGGCCCGCGGTCGCCGGAGGAGAGACGCGGCCGCCGCTGCTGCGAGAGCCTCGCGGAGCCCCGGCCTTGGCCTTGGCCTTCCTGCGCTGCCGCCGCCGCCGCCTCCGCCGCTGCTGCCGCCGCCGCCGCCGGGGTTTGCTGCCGAGCCGGGTTGCTTGCCGAGGCCGGGGCGGGGTGGGGGGTGGGGGGCCGAGCCGAGAGAGAGGAGAGAGAGAGACGCGAGCTGTCGGTGCCTTCGCTCTAATTCACACACGTTCACACCCCCGAGGGCCGGGGTTGGGGCGGGCGGGGGGGGTCGGGAGGAGAGGAGTCCGGGCGCTATCGCTTTAGAGATTAATAACAAGGTGCAGAGGGTGCGAGCCGGAGGAGGGTTGATTGACGTGGAGGGGCTGGCGGGAGTCAGTCACTCCCCAGCGCCGAGGGGTGGGGTCAGGGGAGGGGGCGGGGCTCCGGCGCCGCGCCGCGGGAGGTGCGCGTGCGCGCCGGGCGGCCAAGCCGCTGCCGGCTTGCCGGTTTCCTTCCTCGCCCTCGCTGGTGTTTTGGAAATTAAAAAAAAAAAAAGAAAGAAAAAAAATTTCTCCTTTATTAGATCGAGAAGATGGGTACGATGATCAAAACCTACGCGCTTACGGGTGTGGGGGAAGACACGCGCGGGCCCTCGCGTGGGCTCCGCACGGCTGGCTCCCCGATGCTGGCCCCCCGGCGGCGCGGGCCCGCAGCAGAGCCCAGGGCATGCTAGCTGGTTAAGGAGACGTCAGGTGAGGTGAAGTGACCCAAGGAAATGTTTTCTGGCATCCTCAGTGGGTTTCTTTTTTTTTTTTTTTTTTTCCTTTTGAACAAGTAGCAATGTGTACGTTGCGCGGCGGGAGGTGAATTTAAAACCCTCCGACGCTCTGCGATAACCCCGTCCTATTTTTAAAGCCTCCCTTCTCGCGATAAAAATTGTATTTGGCAGTTTGCGGCAGTTACAGAATGAAAACATTTAAGTGTAAACTAGAAATATTATTGGTTACCGCGTGAATGGAGCTTGCTATTTTAAGTTCGGAGGGGTTTGTTTTGCCACTTGAAGGTTTTTTTCCACCACCAGACCGAGAAGCAAATGAATCGCGTTTGCTCTTCGAGGCAGGATGCTGCCTTGGGTTTGCACTTTCAGTCTCTCTCGGTGCGTGGCTCTGTGTTGGGTATTTACCGATGTTGGCCCAGAGTCGATTACACCGTTCAACATATTTTATCCTCAAAAAATATGTTGTTTTTAGCCCACTTAAAGGCACCGTATGTGGTTGCAGTTTTTATCTCGGGCCCTGTTACTGAATGTTAAAGCCTTTATCTCTTGCGAGGGGAGAAAAGGGGTGTGATTAAAATGCAAATCATTTATGAAGAACTGAACTGCAATTTCATCTTTTCACCAGGAAGTGTGAATGAGTGAAAAAGCCCCTCTCGGCCAAAAAGATCTGTTTTTGTACAAGCTACCTGTTTTTCCCTCCTGGTTCAGTTTCTGTTTCCCTTGCTAGCAACAACCGCCTCCCCCCCCCCCACACACACACACAACACTCTTTGTAAAAGAGGTTAAATGGCCTTAATTCTGGAAGAAGTGTATTCAATCCCAACTATTTTAGTTGAGGCTGACAAAAATACTGACAATCATTAGTAATCTTCAGCTTTGTAAACAGCAAAGCCAAGCAAGTCCCCTCGGAGGCCAGGACAGTGAACCCGTCTTCACTGCACTTTATTTCCCATCCGATTTCTTGACACATACCCCCCAAATCGAAAGCAAATGTTGAAAAGGATGAATAAATACTTCAAAATTCAAGTCAGGTAAATGTGATACTTACATGTCTCACAGGTCTTCCAGTACTTCTAGGTAAATTTCTAGCTTAATCACAATAAGCAAACATGCATGTGTTATGTTCTCATAGCACCAGAGAGACAGTCAAACATGTATAGTCCGTATGCCTGTGCACTTCACAGTCCTTGCAGGGGAAGCCGACACATAAACAGGAAGTTCTCAGAGAATGAGCCAAAAATGAAAGGTGACACAAATTAGCTGAACAATGCCTAGAAGGACGATTGAAAGCACTGACATTTTCACCTCGCCCATCTGATGCTACCCACCGCCATCGGCTGCCTCGTAGTGGGAATGGGACAGGGAGGAGAGAGAGGGCCACTGTGGATATTTTAGAAGTACTAATAAGGGATGTTTGCTCGTCTTGAGGCTCATATTTATGTAGGTAAATGTACATTGTTGGTGCCTAAGTTTGAAGGAGTGACTGTTTCTCAATCATTAGGGACAGGGTAATTATAACATTTAGAATTTAGAATGTAAATGTTTTTATAAGAAGCTCCATTGGAGGTAGGGGCCGGAGAGATGGCTCAGTACTTAAGACTACTGAGTATTCCTGCAGAGGACCTGTTTGATACTCAGCACCTGCATGGAGGCTCACAACCATCTATAACTGGATCTGATGCCCTCTTCAGATTTCCTTGGGCACCAGACACACAGACATCCATTTGGGCAAAACACTCATATGCATGAAAGTCAATAAATAATTTTTAAAAGCTCAGTTGTATCCAGGTTGTATTTAAACAATCTCTACTCACAAAGGTGTTTTCTGTATGATAGCATGTATATTGACTCTGCAAACAGAAGTAAAGGACTAATTTGCACACACACCCAGCCCTTGGCATGTTGGGAACTACACCAGGGATTCAATTTACAAGGCCTTCAGCATCTTTATCAGGTGCTGTATTACTGAGTACTACTGAGCTACATCCCTAGCTCTGGACAGTTTCTGTCTGTTTGGTTAGTACAGTTTTGAGAGTTCGTTGCTTTGTTTGAGAGACAATCTCACTATACTGCCCAGGCTATCCTTCAACTATCCTGCCTCCTGAGTGCTAGGATTACAGGCTTCTACCACCACACTGGTTTCCCTGACTATTTTTAAAAGTCAGTTTTATAGAACAGAGATGGTGGTGCATGCTTATAAACCCAGAACTTAGGAGGCAGAGGCAGGAGGATTACTGCAAGTTCAAGGCAAAGGGCAACCTGGCCAAGGTTGTTGGCCTGCCACAACTACAGAGTGAGATCCTGTCTCAACAAAAGAAAACTTGCTGTGGATGTTTTTCATGTTTGTCAGATTTTTACCTTTTTAAAAAATTATAAATTAGAATAAAATAGAAAATCTCTGCCTTGGCTATTGGGAATGGCGCTGTAATACACATGAGAATACAGATCTATCTTTGACATACTCTGTTTGTTGGTGGTATCTCATTTATTTTTAATTTGTATTTCCTTGATGGCTACTCATCTTTATAGTGATGGATATACTAATTTTCTAGAATTTATCATTACACAATGTACATATTTAAAGAAACATATTCTGCAAATAAGCACCATTATGTGTCGATGAGAATTAAAAGTTGGCCTTTTAAAGAGGAGATTTGGAGTTGGAGACGTGGCTCAATCACGTAGAGCCCTGTCCGTGGACTTGTCCCTACCATCCCATCAGGCCTCTCCCAACTGCCTGGAAGACACTCAGGCTCCAGGAGATCCAACACCCTCTCCTGGCTTCCAAGGACACCTTCATGCACCACACACACACACACACACACACACACACACACACACACACACACACTTAAATCTTAAAAACAGAAAAAAAGGTAAAGATAGATTATCCAATTGAAGTTTCTTACTTAAGTCAAGTCTTTTAGGGCAAATTGCCCTAATAGAAATTTTGTTTATATGATTGCAGAATTGGTTCATTCTTTCTCTGTGAAAAAAGTACTTATTCTAGCCTGTCGGTAGTGGCACAGCACACCTTTAATCCCAGCACTCGGGAGGCAGAGGCAGGCGAATCTCTGTGAGTTTGAGGCTAGCCTGGTCTACAAAGTGAGTTCCAGCCACGTTACACAGAGAAACCCTGTCTCAAAAAAACAAAAACAAAAAAATACTTGTTCTGTAATTTGTTTCAAATTGGCATCTGAAACATATTATCTGAATAAATTTTTCTGTCCATGTTTTTATTGGTATCCTATTGCTATCAAATTCTGTTCAGCAACTTACTCAAAAGCAAGATTTCAGGTTTTATTTTTTAAACAAAATTACTACTATTTGATTAAATTTGATTTTATTGATTTCAGTACTTATATTTATAGCAACCAATTTGTAACTTTTAAGAAAGTCACACTTAGATTTATTCGATTAAGGTATAATTAGTAAAATAGGGCTGGAGAGATGCCTTGGAGGCTAAGAGTGCTGGATGTTTTTCGAGAGGACCTGAATTCTGTTCCCAGCATCTATGTTGGGCTTCTACTCTAGCTCCAGGGGATCCAAGGACCTTTTCTGGCCTCCAAGGGCACCTGCACACATACATGGTAAACATACACAGAGAGAAACACACATAAGTGAATAAAAATATATCTTAAAAATGTTAGTAAGATAAATGTATTTTTACTCCATTTTATGAATATAAAGTAACTTTAACTTGGTCTGGAATGTAGTTCACGGACATAGCGAATAACTTAACTCTGGAACTGATTCTGTGCTTGATGATAGTTCAGTCAGTAAAGTGCTTGCCTTTGATCCTCCAGAACCTACCAAAACAAAACCAAAAACGCTGGGCATGGCGACACAGAGCAGGAGACAGAGGGGACTGGAAGGCAGGCAGGTACCTGGGACTCACTGGCGAGCAATCTAGCATGTAAGATACTCTGACTCAAAAGTATAAACACAAAACAAGCAGAAAAGAAGAAAACACCGTGGTTAGAACTTTAGGAACAACAGCTGAAGTTGTCTTCTGGCCTACACACACACACACACACACACACACACACACACACACACACACACGCAAACGTGCTTGTTCCCACTTATATATGAACGTGCCGTATAACTGCACACAATACATACTAAGATTATCTTTTTTTTTTTTTTTTTTTTTAACTTCCCAGACCTCCTCACAGGGCCTCCAAACTACATTTCACCGAAGTGAAAATAGTCTGTATTTCACTGAACTGCGTTTTCTGTGCTCTTGGCATATATGCCTCTCTCTCTCTCTCTCTCTCTCTCTCTCTCTCTCTCTCTCTCTCCTTTCTCTGTTTTTTTTATATTCCTTTTTTCTTGGTTTTATTTGGGGGTTGATGTTTGTCCATGTGTGTGCATTTCCTGCACATACTGATGTACACACGTCTGGTGCACATGCATATGGGCATTTGTAGGCCCAAGGGCAACCTCAACCTCAGGTGTTATTTCTCAATAGCTCTGTACCTAATTTGTTTTGTTTGGTGGTCTTTTGGGGGGTGGATTCCAGGGATTTTTTGGTTAGTCGTTGGTTGATTGGTTGGTTGGTTGGTTGGTTGGTTGGTTGGGTTGTATTTTTTAACCTGGAGCTCACCATGTAGGCTAAGCTAACAGACTAGCAAGCCCTAGAGATACACCTATCTACCCTTCCCTGGTACTGGGATTACAAAAATACAAGACCACACCTGACTTTTTCTTTTCTGTTATTGAAAAGGGTTTTTTTTTTTTTCATACAACATATCCTGATTATGGTTTTCCCTTCCTCCACTCCCCACAGTTCCTCCCCTATTCCTGACATTTTTAATGTGGGTTCTGAGGGGTTGTTGCTTGGAAATAGAATTTAGTATAGCCCAGGTTGGCCTTGAACTTGCTATGCAGTGAGGATGACCTTGGACTTCTGATCGTCCTGCTTCCAAGTGCTTTGATTAGGGACTGGGCCCCATGCCTGGTTTCATGTGA